GTTTGAGGCTGCGGGTGAAGATATCAGCATGTACAAGTTCAGTATACAGGTGAACAATACTCACTTTAGTGCCTTCTGCTTCAGATCTGCAGCCTCCCGCTCCGCTCACCTCTTCTCTAACTGTAAATTATTCTCCGATGTTTGCTGTAGGACATCATCATCAATGAATCGTTGCACGTTGGTGCACGCTCAGCACTCATCAGCTCGTCCATCACCTTCCGCATGCTTACAATCTTCGTTTCATAGTTCTTCACCTCCTCCACGAGGTGGGCATTCTGCCTCTGCCTCCGCCAGCTGATATTTCATGTCGTGAGCACTCTTGTCTGCAGAGTGATGCAGCCGCACATCATCCTTCGAGTTCTGGTGCAGCTGATTTGCGAGCTCCTCAATCCAGCTCTCAAGGTGCCATGAAGTTGTCGAAGGACGTGGTGAGTTGAGCGACTTATTCTAGAGGTCGACAATGCACACGTTGAGCTCCTTGATCTGCTTCTCCAGGTTGGCCTACATCGTACGTATACGGTGAGACTGAGAACTACTGAGGGATCATCAACGATGCTCACATTGAGTTTGTCCAGCTCCAAATTTTCTACCCTGATCTTGCCCAACTCAATTTGGCACTCATTTGTGTAGTTCTCAACCTTTTTCATTCTCTCAAATGCTATTTTCACACGATCATTCTGTTCCTCCAGTGTCCGCTCCAGGTCTTGCTTCTCCAGCTTCAGCTTCTGCATTTCTGTCTCAGATGTCATCTTGCTGGTATTGATTTTATCTATCTTGATGGCATCCAGCTCAGCCTGCAGTGCACGCCGTGCCTTCTGGAGCAGTGCCCTGTCCATCTCTGTGTCGTTGAGCATGCTCCGCAGTTCACGCACTTGCAAGTGAAGAGAGATGATCTGGTTCTGCTGCTCGCTTTGTGCAGTGGTTGAGGATTCATAAGCCTTGGTGAGATCCTGGTTCTTGATCTCGAGGCACTCCTTGTCTTTCTTCCATGATCCCCCGTTGTAGACCTCTTCATTGTAGCAGAGCTGGAGCTCATCGTGGTCTGACCAGATCTTCCTGTTCTCCTTGCATATTCTAGTCATGTTATCTTGCTGAGACTGCAACTCTATAAGGCAGAAGCATCATTGATTGAGCATTGCTGCAAGCAGTGGGATATGCTTACCCCCACTGGGCTGCGCCAACTCGGTTGAGTGAAGACACAGCATTGTCAGCTGATGCATGATGAATGGAAGCAACGCCCTCACCTTGATACTTCTTCC